TATGGAATGGTTATTGGCATGGGTATGTAAAGTGCATAGGGTATGGATTCAGGAGGTTGTAGTTGCACAGAGTTTGGTGTTGGCATAGTGTTATCACATGAACACAAAGCAATAAGGTTAGGCCGGGTGTTGTTATGAAATAGGTGAGGTTGAGTATTAGATGATGTTGTAATACCTGGTGACGAAGGTATTATTGTTAATTCAGTTGGTATGTATGGCATGAGTGAAAGACTAATGAATGTGGATTGATTTGTGTCAAATGTAGGATTGAGGGATTTGGGTAGTTTATTTATATATCTTAGGGTTGAATAAAAAAATAAGAATTGAGGGGTTTGGGTAGTCTATTTATGTATCTTGTGGTTGAGTAAATTGAGGGATTTAAGTAGTCTATTTATGTATCTTAGGGTTGAATAAAAAATAAGAATTGAGGGGTTTGGATAGTCTATTTATGTATCTTGTGGTTGAGTAAAAAATAAGAATGTTGTTTCATAAAAGTGCACATCATGACTAGAAAAAGGTTTTAGTAGAAAGATCATACAGGTGATATGCCTTTTGACTAAATAGGTACCCTATAAAAATACACTTGCATGATTTAGAATTAAACTTGTATGAGGATTTAGTGTTGGTGGTATAGCATAGACACCTAAATACTTTCATATGGTTGTAATAAGGGTGTGGTGTTGTAAAGCTTATTATATAGTATATTTTTAGAGAGAATATGTGTAGATAACTTGTTTATTATACATGCAGCAATATGACTATTTTTCCTTCTAAAATGAAGGTGGTAAATGAGCTTAGAATTATTGAGCACAAGCAATATTTAATAGATGATGATGTTTACACTCTATGACTTTATTTTATTGTGGTGTTGTTAGATAAGAATGTAAAAAAAAATCCCCAAATCATTAAAAAAAGGTCATATTAAAATGAATTCACTTCTATTATATGCCCACACTTGTTTAATAGTATATTGGAATTGTATTTTGGTAGAAGGGTTTTAGTAAACCTTATGTTTTTAATTTAAACTTAGTGAAATGTATCCAAGTGTAGTATGATAAATCGTCTATAATAGTTAGAAAATATGGACACTAAAATGTGAATGAATATATTGAGGACTTTAAATATCACAATGTATGAGATTAAAAGGTGCATATGATAAAATTGAACTTAAATTGAAAGGTAATTTTTATATATTTTTATTTTACCATAAGACAAGTCTCACAATGTTCATTAGGATGGAAAAAATATTAGAAACTATCTTGAATAAAAATTATAATAATACAATTAAGGGATGCAGTAGGTGACAATAATATAAATTTGGAATGGTAGAGATGCTATTGGCTTTAATTCCTCGTGGTGGATGGCTATGTGTTTAGATAAGTAGTAGATATTATTATGTTCTTTTTTTAGGATAATCATCTTTATCATTTTCAGGTCTATAAAATATAAAATCTAGGATAAAAAATGATGATACAATGCAAATCACGAGTAAATTTACTAACTAGTATAGTAAATTAACTGGAGAGGAAGATACATGAAGGATATTTTTAAGAAATAAATTTAAATTGTAATAAGCTGATAGACAAGGTGTCTATTTTTAAGCCATTAGGCAAACAAATAATGTTATGGTAAATACCGATTTGCATTCTCTACCTTAATGGGTTTGGTCATTTCGTGAGCATTATTAATTGTAAAATGTTTGTCCTCTTTGGTGGCTAAATTGTTTTGCCATGGAACTTATACCCTGGTGGAAAACCAATGATGTAATAACAATGGTCAATTGTATGCGTGTATCCCCCTCACAGTGTACGTGTGCAATACAAGTATTTCCCTTTGTTGTTTATAGGCTACCTATTCTTGGTGTTCTTTATGCTTCACTTCACATGCATGGCATGAATAGTGTTGTCATGAGCATCAACAAGGTAGGAGTGAGTAAATTTTTTTATTTTGAAAAATAGTTGCATCAGAAGAATTTGTCCATGATGAAAGAGTATGTGCCATTCAACCCTATGAGGAATTTGAGGATTTGTTCTTGCTCTTCCATTTCCTCATTCTGCTTCAAACCTGCACAATTACATGTAGATGGATTATTGTACGATCCTAACTCATCCCAAAAGAACTTGTGTGTTGTATAGTAGAATGCTATGGATTGTTGTTGTTGCTGATGGTCAGTAATCCCTTGTTCGAGTTCAACAATGCGAGAAAGATTTCCTTGTGAGAATTTTTCGTTAAGATCAGGCCATGTATATATACTTCATCAATTGTGTTAGAGAAAATAGTATTGATCAGGGTTTGATTGATTGGATTAAGGATCCACGATTCCATGATCTGATTGCATCTTCTCCAAACTCCATGCTTAGGATCCTTGTCTACTGGTTCCATGATTGCCCTATCAACAAAGCCAAGTTTGTTCTTGGCTTCCAGAGACAGCATCGTAGCATGATTTCACGTTGCGTAATTATCACCTTCCAATGGTTAAGTAATGATAGCGTGTCCAATGTGGTCTTGAGGGCCTATATAATAGGGACCGTTGAAATATATAACCTTCGTTGACTTCTTCTTTAGTGAAGCTTGTCATTAGAATTATTTTTGAAAGTAGTATATTAAAATAATTTAAAAATATTAAAGTAATATTAATTTAAAGTAAAAAATAAAAAATTAAATTTTTTAAAATATAAAAACAAACAAACCTAATTACAATTTTATTTATTTATTGAGATTTTATTCATAAATCAAGCTTCGATTGATGTTGACTTGAATTTCTAACATATCTTTACTATAATATCAAATACTAACTCAGTTTTAGACCAATAAGCTTGCTTGGCTGGGGATTCTTGAGTTGTTTATCTCTGATGGAATCAGAAACGTGAAATCATTCGTCCAATACAGGTTAATTCTATTTGAGATATCAACTTCCAGTCCTGCTATTGGCTGAATCAGGTCTCCTCAATTAATTTCTTGACCAAGTATTTATTTACACCAATTTCATATACAAATTTGTAAGGAAAACTGCAGTATCTCTGAACGGGGAAATATCTATCTGTCATTTTATAATTCATTTATTCAATTGACACAGCTAATCCTCGTGGGGTCGTGAGTCCTGGCAATTTTATTCTACAGTTAATATGTTTTGAGTAATTCTATAAAATAAAATAAAAACAAATATGTAAAAATAAAAATACAAATTATATAAACTTTAAAATATGTATAAATTAATATATATTTTTTAATATAAATAAATACTAGATAAATGACTATGCTACACTGTATGATAATCAAATAGATGAATTTAATAATATGATTAAAAATAGTCGATACACATTAAAAAAACCCTTAAAAAAATCACTATCAAATAAACTAAATGATAAAAAATAAATATTAAAAAAATAATTTTTAGAGTTTAACTCGACTAACTCATGATCTATAATATAAAATTGGAATAACCTCACAAAAAAAAAAACAATTATTAGCTAAAGGTTTTAATAACTTAATACTAATTGATGAAATTCAAAAATAAATAATAAATAAATAAAATTAAATTGGGTTAATATTTAAAATTTATGATTGGAATCGTGATACCAAAATTATTCCACAAAAGAATTTTAATAACTTAATACTAAATGATGAAATTAAAAAATAAATAATAAATAAAAAAAATTAAGTTGGGTTAATATTTAAAATTTATGATTAGGATCGTGATACCAAAATTATTCCACAAAAGACAAACATAAAAAAATTATGAAACAAAACTCCTAATCATCTAATTTTTTTAAATAGAAATTAAAATAACAAATACCAGATTTGGTATAAAAATAAAATAAAAAAATAAAAAACATTAAAAAAATTAAAATAAAGTAATAAAGAATAGAAAATAGAAAAACTGCAAATCAAATTTGATACAAAAATTAAAAGAAATATAATGTTAATGAAAGAAATTAAAAAAATAAATAAGAAAATGATAAATAAATAAATAAAATAGAAATAAAAAGAATAAGAATTACATTAAATAAAAAATTAAATGAAATAAATGGTGAGGAATAAAATTAAAAATAAAATCAATTTAAAAATATTAAAAATAAAATAAATAAAAATAAAAAAATAAAAAATAAAATTAATATCGATATAACTTGAGATGATAAAAAAATTTATTTATTTTTGAAAAAATAGATAAAAAATAAAAAATAAAATAAAAACAATTAAAAAAATTAAAATTAAATTGAATTGAATATAAAATTAAAAAAATAAAATAACAAAGAAATAAAATTAAAAAACTTAAAAATATTAAACACAAAATAAATAATAAAAAAATTATACACCAAAATTAATATCAAAACAACCAGACAAAAAAATGGGAAAAAAAGTTCATTGAAACCGATTACTCCTATACTGTTCACACGTTTCTGATCACCATGCAGAGGATGATGGTGGAATGCTTCCACCGTCGTCAACATCAGCTTTGTTTAATTTTATATTTAAAAAATGTTTTTTTTTTTAAAATTAATTTTTTAATTTTATATTAATATATTTTTAATATTTTTATATTATATATACTGTATTAAAAATAATTTTTTTAAAATATTATTTTAATATATTTCTAAATAAAAAATTCTTTAAAAATTAACCACAATCATAATTTTTAACAGTTTTATTTTTAGATAATATTTAATTATTGAGAAACACCAAGTATTTTATTTAAAAAGCATGATTACTCCTTATTAATTTATAAATTTATAAAGAACATTTGAAAATAGGGTTATAATTGTTTTTTAAAATATTTTTTATTTAAAATTATTAAAATACTATTTTTTTTAAATTATTTTTTTATATTAATGTATCAAAATATTATCAAAATTTAAAATAAAAAAAAATTAATTTTTTTTTAAAAACACTTAAAGAAAAAACTTAAGACAAGGAATTATTGCACAAACCCATTCACAAGGTTGTTGTTGCTTCGGGGGATTATTATATTCCTGTCTTGCCCTTGAGTTCTTCAGGTCCTCCTCCTTTCCTTCTTGTGCAGTTCTTTATCTCCCTCCTTCTCTTCTGTTCACCTGTAATAACCAAAACCATTTAATTTAAAAATATTCGCAATCAGTTTAATTCCTTTTCTCCCTTTCCAAGTTCTGTTTTGCTGTATAATTTCTCCTATTTCACAAACAGAGATGGATACAAATTTAAACGACAAGGAGTCCATGATTGCTCGAATCCAACAATTGGAACATGGTAATATCTTTCTTCTCTCTTAAACCTTTTTTTCCTCTCTGTCCAAAAGGATGCTTTTTTCTTGTTTAAAACTGCAGTGATGTTGTTCTCTTACACTATACTGCTTTCTCTTTAGAATTCCCTGTTCAATTAATTAAACCCTAATTCTAGAATTCTTATTTGTTCTTGGACATGGAGACCACACTGAATCTAAAATACAGCACTTTATTAGATAATTAAAGAAACACAATTCTGCAGATAGCCTCCTTTTCCACTGTGATTGAATGACTTTCCATGATATGATTGAATTATATTTGTTTTGTAGAGCGTGGTGAATTGCACAAAGATATTGAACAATTGTGTTTGCAGCAAGCTGGACCTGGCTATCTTGCTGCCGCTACTCGAATGCATTTTCAAAGGTATAGTTATTTATGTATTTTTTTTTTTCTGTTTATAGGATCAGGGTTTTATCATTTTATGATTCTGCGAGGTTGCTACTAGTAAAAAGGGACGTAAGGACTGTACTATTAATTGTTTCTCTATTAGGACAGCTGGATTGGAGCAGGAGATTGAGAATTTGAAAAAGCAGTTGGCTGCTTGCTCAAGAGATAATCTTAATCTTCAAGAGGAGCTTTCTGAGGCTTACCGAATCAAAGTGAGATAAATTTTGTATTCATTGTCCGTTATGCCACTTTTATTGAGGCCTTCTATCATAGGCTTATACGTTTACTATGTTATCATCAGACCCAATTGGCCAAACTACACCAAGCAGAGGCTGCAAAGGTTGGTCTATCACTCTCTCTGTGCCGGTTTATCTGGGCATGCCCTCTTATGTGGTGTCAGTCATTCTTTTATTGGGAGTATTTTAATCAAACATCTACCATTATGTGGTGTCAGTCATTCTTTTATTGGGAGTATTTTAATCAAACATCTACCAGAGGGAATTAATGAATCAGACACTACCAAATGGCATCATTGACCAAGTAGGAGAGAACAGACAATACTTCAGCATCATTAAAAGCAACATTTGATCAAATGAAAGACTCATAAGCTTTGCATTCAAGATTCTTTTGTCTTTCAATTGTCATTTCTTGTGTTAGCTTTATTAAGGATCTAGCATGATCGATTACCGTATTTTCTTTTGGAGGAGATACTAACTTGATGACAACAAAGTTATGAAGTTATGACGTGGGTTTCACCTACAAGCAGTTTGTGCTGGTGACAGGATTAGCTGTTTTTGCAAGCTATGATGTTTGTGGAATTCTTCTATTCCCTTTATTGTTTTCTTTTCCAAAATATTTCATGTGTTTAGATTGCAGTGGATGGAATTTTGCTTTCATCATTGGTCCTGACTTGTTTCATTTCCTTTTTTTCAGAACATGGAGGCAGAGAAACAGGTTAAGTTTTTCCAAGGCTGTGTAGCTGCTGCTTTTGCTGATCGTGATAATTCGATAATGGAGGTTGTGAAAAATCTTTTTGACACGTGTTGATTATATGTTTGTCTTTGGTTTATTACCCATAACCTTTCATAAGTGTATTCTCTTAAGGTTTTGAGTCTCCATAATGGTTGATGGCAGGCTGAAAAGGCAAAGGAGAAGGAGGAGTCAAAGTCCCAGAAATTTAGTGAAATTCAGCAGAGGTACTTGTTATGTTTATGCTCTATTTTGCTTGTGTTAAGAGGCGCAAGATTAAAAGGTTATTCTCAACTGACTGCTTATTATGTTGCATTATGTAATCTGGAGATTACAGTGCATATCTTCTTAGTGTTTGAGTGTTACACTTCCTACGGATCTGAACATTGTCATGTTCCACTTTCTCATCAAAAGTTAAATGTAAGAATGCTATAAATAGTTTATGGTGATGTCTTGTTCCTTCCAAAGTCTTCCCTAACCTTGAAAAAGATTGTGGCATGGCGTGGTCATGATTTCATCACTTTTCATTGTGAAATTTTTTGACAGATAGTGTATCTTATATCATGTGCGACCTTTTCTTTTTTTCAAAGGGATTTTATGGTTTGTAGTTATGTGATGCATCGTTAGGATGCTGGTGGTTGAATGAATACCTTTTCATGATTAAAATTTTTTTTATGCAGGTTAGAAGTGCTTAATTCGGATTTTCTTGAACAGAAGAGACTAAATGATACACTGCAGAGTGATTTATCAAAGCAAGATGAGCAGATTGAGACTTTCAAGAAGGTAATTGTTTCATGTTCTTGGGTAATATCAAGAGTGTACTTGAAACCTTTACACTTCTGGCATATAGATTATTGGAAATAGTGCCTAGAACTACTTGAAACATGGAAATTGTTTGTGCGGTGAACTTCAGATTTCGTTGTAATTTTGAAGTTTAGGATGCATCTTCTAGTCCCTATTGACCTTTCATTTACAGGTTGTCAACAAGTTTTACGAGATCAGGCAGCATTCTCTTGAGGGATTTGAGGATACTAGTTGGGACAATAAATGTGCATGTCTGTTACATGACTCAGAAGAGTTGTGGAGCTATAATGATTCCTCAACTTCTAAATACATTGTAAGTTCTCAAGACCTCATTTTTCGCTTGTTCCTTAAGTATCCATCATACACATTAGTGTTATCACATGATGTACCTATGTTTAGGATTGTTGTCCCACAGTTTTAGAAGCCACAAATACTTGTTATTCAAAGCATGTTAACATTTGTAAAAGAACTTGGAGCCTTAACTTTAAAAAATGGGTATTTTTTTCCCTCCCGCCAAACTTATCAGAGACTTGCTGAAATTTCTGCTGAAATTTCAGTAGAGTTTCCCTTATACCTGGAGGTTCTAAGTTATCGATAATCATCTTGTATAGTTATACTCATTTCTCAATCATATCATAATCATGTAGAATCGCAACAACACATTCATGGTACATGCATAACATTTCGCATGTTCATTTCTTTCCCATTGACACACATAATTCATAATAATTGGAAGTAAACAAACATTAAAATTACAAATACAAAATAATACATTTTTATATCCTGACACTTACTGTAAAAGGAGTACTAGAGGACCTAAAATACTACTCGTGACGTGAATCTAAAGGACCTGCAATTTCATAATGTATAGAATAAATATAGTAAGAATAAAATATAGCTTAAAAGGAAAATCACACAATACATGCACAGTTCCTTAAACATATCTTCAACGATATGCAATCATAGTTCCTTGAAATTCTCATTTAACCTTCCTTTCACTTGGAGAGTTATGGAGCTTGAGAAAAACAAAGAGAAGAAGTTGGAAATTGGAAGAGGAGGACATGATTTTTGTAGATTTTTGCTAGAATTCACTCAAATAAGTTTATCCAAGAAAACAATTTCTGGCTTCTTCTCTTTGTTTTTCTCAAGCTCCATAACTCTCTAAGTTTAGTTACTTAATTTTTTTTCTTGAATATAATCCTCCTAAGAACACTTCCTTTTAATTTAGCTTCAAGAAATGGAGAGAAGATGAATAAAATGGGACAAAAATATGGTCTCCCTCCTGTTTTTCCTTTTTTAGAGGACGTGATCTATCTTTGAAGAAGGAGAGGAGAATATTTTGTATATAAAATTACTAAAATGCCCTTATTAATGCCCCTTGTGTCATCTTATTCAATTTACCCGATTATGAGTACTCTCGTAAAGCCTTTCCAAGCTTTGATTGACATGAAATTTTAACCTAAGATAAACCAATAAGTCTGGAGATTCCTTATAAAATTTCAGCCTGATTTAACAGTCGAATTGAGATATATCATCGATACCATAAAACTAGACAATTAGTGTCTTTTACGCTAAAATCTAAATTTCATTCATTACTATATGTACTTAGATTCTCATGGCATTTCCCCTTAATTTGTACTTAATAAATTCAATATTAACTTATTTATCACTAATTTGTCAAAATAAGTTTTTTGATCGAGGTTTACATTTCTCATTTTTCTTATTCTTTTTATTCATTTAAACTCGTCACTGGTTTTGCCAACGTTACAAGTTTTAAACTAAAAATCATGACTCTCAATTCAACTTCAACAACATCTTTAAATTTATTTATGGAGATCATTATCTCTCTCACATGACACATTTATTATCATTCATATTATTTATTCATTTTTTTCATACTGAATCTCCATTACTCATCGAGACCTCATTATTTCAATCCTATGTTTTTTTTTAATTATTTATTTTTATTTATGGGGGTTTGCATGTTACCAGATCCATAAGCAAGTATGCTAGGTGAAAGAAATTGACAATGTCTAATTAATTTCCTAGATCCACGTAGAGCATAAATTAAATCAGCTTTTACAAGAATTTGAATAGTTACTTCATAGTTCTACATGCAACTTGAATAACTTCTCATCAGACAGAGTGCGTTAGAAGAAGAGGTGGAGACACTGAGGAACTCTCTGGATAAGCTTCAAAGCAAAATACGAGTGGTATGAAATTATCTGGTTAATGTCTGTTTTATTTAATTGTATTATTATGTTGTGTGTTTGCTTAATGCGGATTTTGTTGTGGCTTATAGGGTTTGGAAATTGAAAATCACTTAAAGAAGAAAGTTCTTGAACTTGAAAAGAAGCAAGTGGGTAGACTAATGTCTTCATGTTTGAGCTTCTAAATTTGATCATTGAATCCCTTTGCTAATTACTGAACTTGTTGACGTTTTCTGCAGGTTCTTTTGGACAAAATGGTTATGGAGGGGATAACAGAATTACACCATTACCATTCTCGCCATAGAGTTCAGATCACGAGTTTACTTAGCAAGGAAAGATCTCATATCAAATCAATTATTGATATGGCAGAAGAAAAGATGAAGCAATTTGATGTGATCAGCGAACAGGATTTGGTGGCTTGTAGAGTTGTAAGACTGCAAGAAGATGAATTTCGAGATGTGCATATGAGTACTGATGCTGATCTGGACTTAGCACCCAAGGTAGGTTAGCTACTATCATTGTACTTCATCTTCTCTCTCTTTATCTGCAGTGCATATAGAAATAGTTTGCTTCACCATCACAAGTAAATTCTTAAGGCTCATGAAGAATCACTTCCTGTGTACTTGCCATAGTAAATGGTTCCTTTATGGTGCCTCAGCGCTCCTGCCAGGGCCCCCAATAAGCCACTAGCTAGGTAGTGGTGGGATAATAAGCCAGGAGGAAGAGTAATCAAATGCTTCTTGACCAAGATAAATAGTTCTTGATAAACATATTAGTCTGCTACCTTTTTTAAAAAATAGTTATAGGCATAATCCTGCTCATGGAATGCTGCAATTGCAGTATTTTGGTGCAACAAAATTCCAATTCCACTCCATTAGAAGCTCTCTTATAAGTATAAAACAGTGGCACAGGGAGAAGTTAGCAAATAGAAACTGAGAAGCACTCTGCTAAAGCTGACCTTGTCTCCAATGATCTTTTGCAATTTGATGCGAGACCCAACTCCAAAATTTGCAATTAATAATCTGAGAAGAAAAATGGGTCAATAGAGTGAGTAAACTTCCTTGAGATCAGCTTTTATTATCTATTTTTCAGTCAAGCATCCACCTCTCAAGAATATTTTTATAACTCAGTCCTTTGATATCCAGTACTTTCTACCAACTTTTTGAACTGAGAGTTTTGTTCATAGACAAGAGATTACTAGTGCTCTAATCTTTTGTTTGAACTACTGGATGGTTTTTTAGTATGCACTTAATACAATACAGGATTGCACTGAACCTCTCCTAGTTTTTTCACTTAACATGGAACAAAGATTCAGTAAAATATTGCACTGAACCTCCATCAATCTGAGCATGAAGAGAAAATACATAGGTGTTTGTGTCAAAGATTCCATGTATGGTATTTCAATAGTTCAAGTTGATGATAGCATCCCTGTAGAATTGTTTGTCCTGGTCGCCAAGTCTCACTCAGCTAACCCTACCTATTTTTACCAACAAGCCCTTCACTCTGCCTTCTGTTTTGGTTTGATTCGATAATTCTTCTTGTCTCTGTACTTGTGATGAGATTTTAAGGTAAAGAAAATACTTCAACAGAATCAGAAGGTCAAAAATAATTTGTCCTACTGTTTCTCATTGAAGCAATTTCTATTTCTTGTTTATTGATTTATACATTTTTACATTCATCACCTGCTGTAGAGAATTGACCAAGGCGCACTAGATACTGTGGCTCATTCAGAAGGCAACACATCTGAAGCCCTTGCACAGGCCATGCAAGAAAAGGTTCTGTGATATATTTCATGCCCTATGATTTACTTTCTATATCTCTGTTCTCTGTAAATATTTAGTCAGTTGGATGTTCAAGTTATGCAGCTGATTTGAAATAATTATTCTTCTTTCGGCTCAATTTTGTTTTCCTCGTCAGGTTGCAGCATTGTTGCTTTTATCTCAGCAGGAAGAAAGACATTTACTGGAGAGAAATGTCAATGCAGCTCTTCAGAAAAAGATAGAGGAGCTTCAAAGAAACTTGCTACAAGTAATTCCTGTAGATTCTTTTTACTTGCACGTCTTGAATGTTTGCCTCTTTTTTACTTGAATATTATACATAACTCGGCAAAAGTTTTGCAAATTGACATATGGACTTTGAGAATTATGCTTCATTATAATAATTATCTTATCATATATGGAGGAGACATTATAAAAATGTTGGTATGCAGGATGAAAGACCTTTCTCCTTGGTATTTGTCACATGGATCTCTTTCCTCTCTGAATCTGGATATCTTCTAATATGAAGTTTTGATAAAGAATTTATCAAATTTAAAATTTCATATCCTTCCTGAACCTCATAATGAGTGCACAGATGTGATGATTTAGGTCACCAATGAAAAGGTTAAAGCTCTTATGGAGTTGGCGCAGTTAAAGCTCGAATATCAACAACTACAAAAGTATGATCTCTTCTTTTCCCTAAAGCATAGCACGCAATCATGCTTTGTTAAAATCATTGTTTTTCTATACTTATTTTGTTTTCTGCTGCCAATTCTTTTATTGGAACTTGAATGCTGCCAATGACTTTGATAAGGACCTTTCCCCAAAGCTATGGAGCTTTGATGCATGATCCTTTGTTATATTATTATTTTAGAGGTGTTTGCTAGTATTCACAAGGTTAATTTCTCAGAATAAACCTTCAGAAGTTCATGCAGCTTGTATGGTCTAAATCATATTAAAATACTTTATTAATTAAGATATACAGGTTATTTGTGAGCAATACTGATTATTATGAATTTTGATATCCACTAGAGGTTATTCCAGATCGAAATAAAAGGTTGCAGTTTTATTTTTCAGAGTATATTGAACTTTCCTTCAAATTGATGTTCACTCCTGAAATGCAATCGTGTTCTCCTGTCACTTCTCTAGTTGTCTGTCTTGTTTTTGCTCTGATGTGGCTTTCTCTTGATATGTCATTAAAGTAACTGGTAACTCTTGTTAAAAAAATGTATTAAAGTATGCATGAATTCCTTTTCCCTTGCAACATATGCACACTTTGATCTGATGACTAAAACTACCTGCATGAATTTAATTCGTGCAGAAAAGTTGGCAGTGAAATAAAAGGAGATTTTTCAGCTGACACTGGGGAGATAAGACTTTCTAATATAGAAAGAGATGGAAAGATAAGAAACCTGTTGAAGAGGACATATCTAAGACGTTGGATGGGCACAATGGATTTTCGTGGAAATGAAGCTCAAACCTGCCCGAGTAGTGAAGGGAATTTCTCTGGGAAAAGAGCAAATGACATGGATTTTGCCAGGTTAGTAAAAACTAATTGGATTCCATAACAGAAGACTAGATTGGTGAAGCCTGCAAGTCAGATCTTACCCTCTGATGCCCCCCCTCCCCAAATCTATCTATCTATCAGCAGAAAGGAAGGAAGAAAAACTCTTCTACGAAATAACTGTTAATGAAATGGATGTTTATGGTTGTGTGTTCTCAGAATGAAGATTGAAAATGCCACTCTCAAGGAAAGCATGGAATGTATGGACCACCTAATTTCTTCAATTCACAGACTTCACCTTGCACTTCTGAAGGTAAATGTTTCTTCATCACATGTACATAGCTCAGGAATGGATGAGCTATGTAGGATGCTACAGTAATATAAATACTGTTAGGAATGATGATACAGTTGAAATTTTGCTGCTTCTTTTCTTTTTTCCCTTCTCTTTAGGTCATGCAATATCATAATAATATTAATATGATGTTGATTTCGTTACTTGCTCCATAAAGGTTCTTGTCTTGATGTTTGGTTAGATAATCTGTCCATATTTTGAAGCTAATAGGTTTTCTGTTGCTGATGCTGCATAATCTATAGGTCAAAGAGTCAGATACTCGTGAAGGTACCAGTACTGGCTTGCTAGAAGCTCTTAATGATATCATTTCTGAGGCTAGACTTGTGAAGACTGCCCTCGGAAGCTCCTTACCTATTAGTTGGTCTGCTGAGGCAGATGATGCATCAATTGGTGAAAGTGTCTGCGATGAACTAAGTGATATTTATGGGAACCCCAGTAGAGAGAAGATAGATTCTGTTTCTGCTGCAGGTTTTGAGATGGTGGAGCTTCTCATACTTGCAGCTCAGATATTAAAGGACAATAAAACCACAAAGGGTTGCTGAGATTGGAGTTTGTTTCATTCTGGTCTGTGTGGGCTTTGTTCTGTGATGAAAAGCATACTAAAGGGACTTTTCGGCAAAGAGAAGTGAAAATTTGTGCAGTGTGAAGGAAGAAGGCGAACTTTTGGAACAACTTAATCAGTGCAGAATGAAAGCCAATGCTTATCTTGTCATTGTAGAGCCTTTTATTGTATTTATGGTGTTTTGAAAGGAAAGGAAAGGAGGAGGGAATAGAGTTCAATTCCTTTCCTTTGTATATACATGGTTAGACACAAGCCAGTTGCATAAAGTACAGTAATATGAACTGGGTTATTAGATTATTTCAATGACAAAGTTTCTGAGCTGTGTATGCTTCCTTTCAGTACTGCCTGTTGTATTTTAATTGTCAAAGTTTATGTTGAGCGATTGAGGGATGATGCATTTTCTGTTGGCTTTAAACTCACTGGGAAAATTTGTGGTTAGTACATGCCACGTGGCAGGAACTGCTTATGCCATGAAGAAGTCATGAAGCTTTTTTATGCCTCATTACGTGTAGAATTACTTGTTTATCTTGAATGTTGCTGCTTTAAAATGCTTTACTGTAGGGTGGGACGGCATCTTTCTTTTTCTGAACAACGCAGTTTCTTTCTTGGTCGATGCAACTTTTTTCCTGCTGAATTGTTCACAACTAAATAGAACACGGTGATAATCATTCAGGATACCGAAATCTTTACGTATTTTGAGGAAACAGAGGATACAAACTATGCCACGTAGTATCTCAGGTTACTCAATCTTGGCAGAAATTTCAACTGACACATCACACTCAGAGTTCCCACAAAATTACAGCCATGGGACACCAACACATCTAATCTTGCAAGCGAAAACCAATCCTTGACGTATAGAAGAGAAGAAAATCCATGAAGAGCCTGCGATGCCATTTATGGTGGGAAGGGCTAAAAAGGGCTAGAGACGGGGACAAGAAGTCTTTAGTCGATCATGATTCGGCGGCAATTTCCACAGCGGTGATATTCACAGTGACTGGATTTTTCTCGCGTTCATTCTCAAGCTGGCTGTAGTTTCCTTTCTCCTTGAAAAGTTGGATAAGATGATGCTTGCAGTAGAGTTTTCCCTCATGTGCAATGTAGTTAGATGGGCTTATTGTACAACCTCCATGGGTACACTTAAAACAGCTCCGATGGTATGGAGTTCCATTTACTGTAACCTGGAAGAAGATCAAAGACCACTCTTCAGAAAATGTTTGTCATCTTTGAAGAGGATGATCCTCTGTTTCTATGAAAAAAGTCTTCATTTCTTACCTTCTCGATAGGATAGACAGTCTTGTTGCACCCAACACATTTTTCTCTGGTGCCAGCAAACAAATTCGAGACCTTGCTTGCGTTCTGTGAGATATATCAAGTTCAGTTTAATTATTTAGTGGATAGAAATTGAGTACAATAAATAGCAAGAAACAACATACTATCATTTTCCAATCAATTATTTAAGAGATCACCTCATTATCAACAGGTTTTTCTGGTTTCACAATTTTTGGTGTTCCTGGCAGAAATTAATTATAGAAAGTGAGAGGGCAAATTGAATTTAAGTTAAAAGAATTTAACTGGCTAGTGATAATAATAGTACGATTTGAAGTGTGTAAATTTTGATGATGGCTTAACTGTGCTTTTACCTTCGAAACTCTTGTCTAGACTGCCAGTTCTCTTGAAGAGTTGGTCATAGTGAGGTCTGCAGTACAGAACCCCTTCAAAAGAACTGTAGTTGCTTAGCTGCTAGCACAAAACAGTATGCCGATGAGTGCTCATCAAGAAATGCAATGAGTAGTTAATTGGCTTTGAGGACAGCAATTTGACATTCCTTACCATCAACAGAAAACGGAAAGCAATTTCAAAAGAACCAAGAAAATGAAAGATGATTCTCAGAAATCCTGGCTCTTAGATTAGCCTGAAAATATGTTTTATGCTGCTGGCCATATGTATATTAAAAAAAAGTTTTAATGGGCCTTGAAAATTTGGAACTAGATTAATGTAAAGAAGAATATGGTGTGATCTGATCAGAAAAAAAATTGATGGAAAGGGTTGTAGCCAACATATATATATATATATATGAAAGACAATTCTGAGAAGAAAAAGGTTCCCGAGACATTACAGTTCAAAGAAGATAATAAAACATGAACAAGGATATTACAGTACCGATATGCTGTTACCTTTAGGGTACCCCTGCAATGGTGGCATCTAAAGCAGGCCTTGTGATAAATCCTGTTATCAGCCGTCAACTTATCAACAAGATACACTGTCTTGTCACAAGCCATACATTTTTGCTGGGTTCCTGCAAATGCTGCCATATTCTTTTTCTTCCTCAAGGATGAATAGCAAGATGAAGAGCAAGAAACCTTAGCACTTGTGCGCCGATTGTGATATTTCTCGTTTGTGTTGTGTCTTTAGCCTTTGCCTTACTGTCTTGTCTCTCTTCAAGCTGTATCTTGGCTTATATTATACCGAAGATAGGGGAGCTTAAAGGAGGAGATAAAAAGCAATGGGTTGCAGATAATCGCGGGTGACATGAAAGCAAACCTGTACATGATTGACAGGAATGGCCTAGCGCCACCTAGCTATCATTTTGTCCGATTTCTAAGTAATTCATATCAGATAGGATAATCCTTCTGCTGTAATCATTCTACTTTCTTTCTCTATTTCTGGGAGGTACAATTATAAAACACGTGTTGTCATGAGATAATTTTTTCTACGGGAATATCCTATCGTTGGCATGGCTGCAGCACCCTTAAGCTTGGTATTGGACAACATGCTTTAGATGTGTGCTGTCACGGGATAATTTTTCGCTACGTGAATATCTTATCGTTAGCATGGCTGCCAGCACCCTTAAACCTGGTATTGGACAGCATGCCTTAGATGTGTACCCGTGCACATTTAACACTAACACTGTAACCCATGCTATTCCAAGGAAGTTGACAATTCAAGCTTTTGGCTCCCAAATTTATCTTTTTTCCTGTTTCTTAGAAATATTCTCGGTTTAGCTAATATTCGAGGAAATAAAACAGATGAGTTATTATTGATATAAAGTTGATTTTCTAGGTAGATCACAAGGGAACATGATGAGTAAGTCCTTTTTCACAAAGGTGGTGGGTCTTGAATTACATTGAGTGCTCGAATATCATCATGAAGTTCCTGGCTGGATGCCTTGCTAGACGTTTCTTTTTCGTTGTCATGTTTTATTCTTTGATTGCTTTTTCCATGAGTTATAATCGGCCAGTGCAAGTGATTCATCAGATGGATAATCTTTTTTAAAAAAATTAGGTAATTGGCATCAATCAAAGCCTATCAATGATGCTCCATGTAACTAGTGACCGAGTGAGCTCTCGGGTTAATGCAAATTTGTCTTCAACAACACTCAACATTACAATTGGAAATTTTGGTTTATTATATCAGATCAGATTGTAAATCTGTCATCATTGTATCTCCAACTTGCTGGCTGAAGCTAAAAATCATGTCGATTTCATATGTTCACCTCAAATTTATTCGTGGCAAAACGACAAGGGGCATTTTGCCTATAAATACCTTTTTCTATTATACCAGGTGAAGTGGCCAACCTCACGAATAAAGATATAAAATTAGCATAATTTTATTTTAAAAAATAAAAACATTTGAGTGATAAAATTAAAATTAAAATAAATAAATTTAAAAATAAAAAATAAAAATGAACTTATGATAACCTTTAAAACCGATTATCCTAGTTAT